TATGAGATGCCTTCACCCTATTTCGTTTAAGGTGATGCAGGACTGGTAGTCGAATTTTCCCACAATGCTATGAGTAGTGCCGACGTTTCCATTAAAAGTGAAAACAAGGTCTAAGCAACATTATAAAACATGGGACCGCCGTCGTCTTCTGGTGGAACCGACCTTGGAATCTCTTCACCCGACACTTCCACTCGAAATGGAAGTAAGCTCAACATTTATGAAACAATAGATTTCTCGAAACCCAACTTTTCATCGTATATAGCATAACTGCTCAGCAGAAGGCTGGTCAAGGGATTGACTTCATTTGTCTCTTTGATGAGTTGTAGCTTGGTGCTGAGAATGGCAAGGCTCACCGATGATGAAGCCAGGGAAACTTCTGGGAATGTATCAGGTCCACAGTCGGACAGTGTGAATTTTCATAACTTCTATAGCAGAGGATTTTGGGCAAAGTGCCTCCACCCAGGTTACCATGACAACACGACTAAGTTGCGAAAACGAGGTCAGGTCACATGCAATGCATGCAGTTGTTGAAGATATAAAAATGCAAACATGACGTTCACCTAAACTAGATTGATATACAGACAACACAGTGTTGCGTCATCTCACTTATGGCGAACCGCTTGCAAAATAATCGCTCTGGCATATTTCGCGTTGGCTTTAGCTGGTGTGAAGCGTGCTGAAGAATTGTACAATTTGCATTTTCAACCTGACAACGGCCGGTTTGTCGGGCGACCTGACGGCCAAGAATCAGAATGTACCAGCGCCCCATCTTCTCGACGACCCTTGACTTCTTGTGGCCTTCTTCTCTACTCCTGCCCATCTTAATCAAATGAAGAGAAGCGAGTGCTGCCACGTCGTGACGATAAAATCTGGATGAATGAAGCAGCGGAGAAACCATTCGCTACTGCCTCGAGAAGAGCCAAGCGACTGAGCTGTGTGTGGCCCATGGGCAAATGTCAGCCGGTCAAGTTCGCCCGAGTCGCTGACTCCCGTTTGCCACGGATGCCCAACAGTCGTTCCCACTTTGCCCGCCTTCCCTTGTACCCTCTTCACGACAGCTCATCACTTACTCGTCTCGAACTAGATCCACCGGTCTGGAAACCGCAAAACGACATCTTTGATCCGATTCCGTGAGCCCAAAACAGTGGGTGGGAAGTAAAGGTCATAAGAGGTTTTGCCAAGGAAAGTAGCCGTTTGAAGTTTATAGGTGACTGGAGGGCAAGCAGAACTTTGCATACACATCTTCACACACATGCACACACATACATGCATGAATATGCAAATACACATTTACATTATTGTAGTTTGGTTCTGTTTTTTTGGG